TGTGTGTGATCGTGATCGGATAAAAGGTAAGACAAAACCTGTTCATCCAACCGACTGATCAACAGTCGAACACAACATCCTGGGTCTGATATGTCTCCCCTCTTGTTGTCCAAAAACACCACACTGTTGAACTGGGTTCCATTTCTTTCATTACCATGAACACACACACAGTTTATTTTCAATTCAATCCCTCACGCCTTCTGCTCTCATTCATAATCCCTAGAGCTCCACATGTGGATTAATCCGCAGCTTAAAATATTCCCTAACCACCAATGTAATAAATGCATGCCTAGTTGTTTCTGAAAAGTATATCTTAAATATATAAATATTTGAAGATATTGAGAGATAGACATTGTTGACTTAGGTCTCTTCATGGGATTTGTTTACAATGAGAAAACAATGTGTAAGCCCTCAAATCAGGATTTAAAACTCATCAAAATTGGGGTGAAATTCATCAATTTCTAATAGAGTAGCATGTCCATGCTTTAGGCCAATAGCAATCTATTATGTAATGTGTGTCAGTTTCCAAAGAGGAATGGTTAACAGAGACTCAAAATATGTCTGTGTTTGAATTAAGTGAACATATCTTCCTATTAGCAACAAAGCTAACATGCTACAGAGAGGTTAGCTCAGGTCAGTTAGCACTGAGAGCTTTTCCTTATGTATTGTGAGTGGCTAGTGCTAGCATGTTCCTGGCTGTGCTAGCAGTAATCACAGCAGTTGAAGTTGTTCAAAAACGAAGCGCATATTTAGTGAACACACACAGTGTCATTTTGCAACCGTGACGAGGATTGTCACAGCTTTAAATAGTAAAATGCCTTCAAATACTATACTTTAGTATATCCAGAAACCAGTTGAAATATTATTTGATTGTGCTGACCTAACCTAGAGTCTAAAAGCAACAGTTCATCACAAGTTAATCACTGAGTGCTGTCAATCTCCTCCAAAAGGCCTAAGGGTTAAAGTCATGAACGTCCACTGTGTAAGGCAGTTTGATGCATGTCTTGCTAATGTGCACGAGTCACTAATAAAGGAATACAAGCTTGGGAAGGGTTAACAATATCTTCCTCTGCCCACCCACAGAGCTTGCACCCTGTCCGTGGCACGCATCTCACAACAAGCACACACACACACAGACACACACACACACACACACAAAGCGAGGGGAAAACCATGGAGCTCTCAAAGGAGCCGGGAAGAACTCACCCCAGGGAAGAGGTGCCAAACACGAGAGCTCAGGCTCTTCCAAGACATGAAGGCTGTGGAGATATGGGCCAAACTACCAGTGCTGGGGTCTGCCGGGGAATGCCATGAGTGCTACTGCTGCCATACAGAGGGTCCGGCTTGAGAGCGCTAGCAGCTGAGAGTACAAAGCAGCTTTAATTGGGTTTAATGAATTGAGCTGAAGGGAGGACGAGCAAGGTGAAACAATGGGAGGTTTAAACAGGTGTGAGTGAGGGGGGACGTGGAAGAGGATTTGACAGGTAGTATGAGAAAAATAACGAGCTTTTTGAACATTAAAGCATCATGTTAAGTAGAGACACAAAATACATATGAACCTGAAAACGAGCACAATATGTCCTCTTTAAATAAGCTACAAAGGTTGTGCACCAGACGAACCAGGTCCATGTTACTTCATTTTGAGATGTCAGTATTTACTTCCCAGGCAGCAGGCCTCTTCCATCTTCAAAGTGCGTATGAACATCTAAAAATAAACCTGGCTCTACTTTCTCTTTCTCCACTTGTTGGTATATGAAGGCGCTAATTCTCAAAGAATGCTTCATGGTTTAAACATATCACATTCCTCCTGTTCGACATGCCATGCTACATTGACCTGAGCTACTCCAATACACCTCTCACCATTCAGTTCCATACAACAATAATAGCAGGGTCAATTCAGCCAATTATTGCCATTGTCTGTTCACTTATAGAAGTTCCATACCTCAGTACAGGCTATATTCGTCTCCATTGGTCTTTACCATCACCCAGCTGTTCAAACATATCAAGCGATCGAAGAACAGTATGATCAGCTGAATTTACAAGCAGTGTTGGAATCCCATTTCAAGTACAAAGATGGCTCCAAAAAGCTTTGTAGTTTATACCCATGTTAAAAAGTCTTCAACACTAAGAGATACCCTCATCTGCTTTCTTGCTGAGAGTTGGAGATGGAGCCTAGCTTAGCATAAAGACAGGAAACGGAAGGGAACAGCTAGCTCTATTTAAAAGAATTAGGTGTAAAAGTCATGTAGCTTCTTCGAATCTCTGCTGGCTCCTTGATAATTGGCCGAATCTAAGTGTTGCAAATAACCCCCTGTAAAATGAACTTTTTTTCTTTGACAGATTACACAAAGACATAATACATAGCTGAGGTGCCTGCAGCTGGACTCTGTTATTTGTTTCCCCCTGACTCCAGTCTTTCAGGCTTAGCTAAATTGTTGGCTCCAGCTTCATAAGCAGTGTACAGACATGAGGCAAGAGAATACATATTATTTCCCAAGATCCTGAGCAATTTCTATGAATGTGATTTGATAAAAAAGTACACATACAAACACCATCCCTCGACAGCAGTTTGGTGTTAATCTCGAATCTCTGGTCGGGTTTTTACACATTTTCCATGTAACACGAGCGCTCGTCTTTTATCATTTCCTGTGGTGAGGCATCACAGACACATCACAGTCATGAGAAACTTATTTTTGCTGGATTGTGAGAACATCCCTGCCTGGAGCGATGTGCTGCTCTGTCAGCCAGCGCTCTGATTAAGTCCCAGCAGTGGAGTAATGAGCGCTGCACAGTTAGACTCTGGGACTCGCACAGAAGATATTCACAGACGGGAGCGTATGCGAGGCCTTAGCACACACGCAGACACACAGAGATTTGTGCTGAGCCTCTCTCAGTAGAATTGGTGGGCCTGATTACTAAAACTAAAGCCAACACCCCCGCCCTGTCAGAGGCACCACTGCAGGCCACGGCATGAATAAGACATGAAGTGCTAAATACTGAAGAGCGCTGTGCTCTGTGGCAAATCCTGTCATGTGTTCAAATTAAACACAAAGAAATAGTCACACATACACGGGCAATGCTAACGAGGGTTGCCACAAGGGAAAGTGAGCGCCAAGTAGGTCAGTGAAGGATGGTGAACGTCTGGGTGCGTGTGCCATGTTTTCCCCTTAGCTGGTTAAGCCCAACACTTGACTTGAAGTTGTTTGGGTCATTCTCGGGTTAGCCAAGGCTGTCTGTGTGCTAAAATCGCTTTTATTATATGCATTTAACTCCTACCAGCAGCAAGTGTTAAAAGTCCTGCTTTCAATGCACAAAGCAAGGCAAACATTTAAACTGTTTTACATGACTGCTCATCAAAATGCCATGAAGCTCTCCTCTCATTTATCTGACAGCATCTGCACAGGGGTGTAAACTGAGGCAATAAACATGGGAACTAGCACAAACGACGTTGAGCACCTGTAGCATCACCATGCAATAAGCACCTACAAGTGTTTACAGTCGCAGACCCCAGCAATTAGACCAAACCCCTGTTAGGACTGACTCAGAAATAACCCTGCAGCTCACCACAACATTACTCAAATGCTGTTTCCATTTATAACATTTCACACAAGCAGGAAATAATGTATTGATTTATAACCTTGGTCTACAAATAAAGCTGAATGGACCTTAACATCACCAGATAAGCTGAATTTAATATTATCCTAATTTATATTGATATACTGATGTAAGAAATACTGTGTATTATTTTGATAGCCCTAAAAAAAAACTTTATTTTGATTTGTCTTATTTTGCTATTCAGCTGATATTTGGGAAGAAACTACTAGTACTTTGCACAACTCGTCAAAAAAAAGATAGATAAGGTTTACCCGAACAATACCACTACAAATTGACAATTACTCATTTTATTTCACCGCGGCTGTTTTGGCCAAGAACTCTTGTATCCCTCGAGTGCTACCAGGAAGTTCACGTCTCGACATGCCAACCTGCTCAGCTAACACAGTGCTATCTGATCAACATGCCTTCAGTTTGTTTAGTCTTTTATCTAAGTAACAAAATCCCAGAGCGGTTATATAAAAATAAAAATTATTCAACAGACTCAATTTTGGCAAAATAAACAAACGCGTATGCACAGATGGCCAAGCGACACATCCTGACGATGCAGCCTACCTGCAACCTCATGGCCTTAGATTATTCTGTAAAGTACATGAAGTGTGTACATGCATTTTTTTGACTTTTGCTAAAATGCCCCTACACATTTACCTCCTTCTTAAGATGTTCGGGTCAATCTGACCTGGATACAGTAGTGAGGCACACAGACGCACAGAAACACCAAGAAACTCACTCTCTCACTCAATCAATCACACATTTTTATATTTTTCTTTTTAGACAAACAAAACTGGGTGCAAAATGTGAACATAATACTAGAGTTAAGTAAAAATGATTTAATAGGAAATGTCCTACCATATATTTCTCCGTTATCAAATAATCCATCACATAATCCATTTGTAGAGCAACAGAGTCAGCATGCTTTCTGAGGGTAGACTTTCATTTGACTGACAGTCAGAAACAGCTTAGCTGCTGTCATTTCTTGGTCCGGTCCATTTTGGCAGGGGCCACCATAGCGGACCCCCACCCAGCAGGAAAATAAACAGTTTGCCACTAACAAAAGAGGACGCAATTAAAGTGTGATGAGTAGAGAAGCAACTGTGCATCCGTATCCTTTTTCATCCGGGATAGATTTCCTGGAAGTAACAGCCCACAGTTTTCCAAAAGTGGACCGGTCATTCTGGCTTTTGCCCTCAAATAGCAGATGGCCCGTCCCAGCCCAGACTGATAAACAGAATTATGCTTCCAACTTGTTTGACCAATAAATCGCCTTTCCTCTAAATCCCTTGTAAATCACTAGCAGAGGTATCCTATCTAAAGCAACTTGGTTCCTAGATGGTGAGTGTAAAGGTGTGAGTGCCTTCAGGTGATGGTGCAGTGGTGCTCAGCCCTACCTGGACCTGCTCCCCCCCCCGGACAGACGAGTCGCCCAGCAGTGGCTCAGCGGGAGGCGTGTTTATCGTTACAGACTTTTCTGAGCGGCTGTCTTTGTTGCGGGACTTGTGGCGATCTCTGTCCCGGCTTCGCTCCCTGGAAAACAAGAAGAATTCATAAAGGGGTTAGGACTGTTGCCATACAGAACTACTAACCTTGAAATCAAAGAAATCCAGTATAAAAGTTTGGGATTGAGATTTTTGGGGGACAGTTAATTAAAAAGAAATACTTTAAATGATACATTGATTATTAAAATTGACGTCAATTAATCTTATGAGGTTCAACTAATCAACCAATAATAACTGTTGTGTAATGTCTTTTGTGGTTTAGTCCAGAGATGCATGCTGAAAGACACACACACACACACACACACACACACACACACACACACACACACACACACACACACACACACACACACACACACACACACACACACACACACACACACACACACACACACACACACACACACACACACACACACACACACACACACACACACACACACACACACACACACACACACACACACACACACACACACACACACACACACACACAGTGAAAGCGGCTGTTTGAGTCAGATAAGCAGATCGCTGTGTGAAAGAGGAGAAATTAAACTGCTCTTTGTTTCATCTAATTTCCTGAAGCCCATTATGAACTCTGACCCTCTAAACCCCTCCCTCTACATCCTTCCTCACTACACCCACCCCCCCCCATCACTCTCACTACAAGGCCCTGTGTCCCTAACATATGAGCTCCATTAGCCACACTGACCCACCGCACTTACAGCCCTAATCCTGCAAAGAGTGTGTGTGAATGGCAGGTCTTCATATCCTCCGCCCAGCATCAACACCACCACGTGGCACGGTGCCCACTCTGCAGCTCCATTACCACAGCCTCAGTTAATCCCTCATCTGGCTTCCCCCCCCCCTCCAGCTGCTGACATCACGGACATACTGTGATACATACAGTATTGTACAGGAAACATCAGAGTATATGACAGACAGAGAGACTCCAGAGGCAGAGCTGTCAGATTTCATATAGAGAATACATCCTGAAGAAGCTGTAAAGAGAATAATGGACTAACATATTGGACAGCAGGTGAATGAAGGAGATATCATGGAGTCCTTATTTACAGCTGCACGCCTGAAGAAGACAAAGGGCATTTCTTGATTGTCTTTGCTAAATGCTAATTGAGTTTCCTGCAGTCTCTAGGCGTAATATTTCATTCGTATTAAGTTATTTAATTGCAAGTGACATAAGAACAAAAGTGTAACAAATCTCCTTTCCATAATGCTCTGTCTTTCAAGAGATGAACACAGGCTGTTGTTGCTTTCTGTTTAAAGCTGAATGTTCTACTTTTTGTTTATTTACACGTCGACCACAAACAGCACAACGTTAGAATTAGATTGGTGTTTTCTTACAACTGCAAGTAGCAATACACAAAAGTAAAATTTGGCGAAATCCGATATGCCAATGTTTTTTGTAGCCAATTGCCAAGACTTGTGTGTTATGTTGTGAAAATGGACGCTGATGAGAGCTGTGGGACTCAACCAAAAAGCTAAGAGCCTAAAACCAAAACAATGAGCAGGCAATCATTTTCTGTTTGTCTATCGCTACAAGCAACACCTTTCCCATTACACAGACTAATCGGCTACATTGTTAATTTAACAACACTGATTAGATCGGTTGATATTGAGTCTGACGAAGCTGAATAAGATCTGGTGCCCGTTAACAATAGCCTTTTAGTGAAGTATAAATGACAACCTTGAACGCTACTTTCCCACACAATAACAATTCATAACCATATCTCAGGATATCCTGCCTGCAGGGGTCGCGCAGGGATCAGTATGATTGACAGCTCGTACAGTCTCACATTGGATGGATGGAAGTGTTTTTGATTAAAGGGTGTTAACCTGTCTGCTTTCCGCTTCTATTCCATGTACTTCCTTTTGAGTGTGGACACCATTTCCTACCATCACAATGCTTCAAATGTGCACACAGGGAAAGAAAGCTAATTTTACAATAGCCCGCAGCAACTCCTCTCACTGACAGAGTGACTGACATATTCTCGTCTAATAACTCCAGGAGATTAGGGCCGTGTAAGCCTTTAAATACATTACAGCCATCATTATTACTTGAAATGTTATTATGGTTATCATCATCAGTGTAAATGGTTTCTGCAGCGGGAGGGATCATCAGTCAAAGGCTGTCACTGGTGGTGGTTATTCATTGGGAAGGAGCAGCAGCGAGTCAAAGTTATCAGCAGAATAATAAGCATCTCCGGGGGAAATAAAGGAAAGATAACAGCCAGAGTAAGTAAAGAGAATAGTTGGGAAGGAGGGGGAATTCCAATTGTTTGGTGTAACGCTGATGACGAAAAACTTAATTTTAAATTGACCAAAATAAACGTCTTTGCTAGTCTTTCCATTGTGCTTAGAGAGTTTGAAATATACTGAATAAATAACAGATTTGTATTCTTTTAAAATACACGCTTGTGACACAAAACAGAAACGAATACTCTTCTTCAGGCAATAAGAAATGCAAAAACAAATATACATGCTTATTTTAGTTGCAGTTGGGTTTGTAATTAAATAGAACCCACATCCACTTTACAAGACAACCTGTAATGAGGAGTCACACGCGCTCCATTTTTAGGCTGGGAACCACTTGAAAACAACGTGTGTCTTTACACGCTAGTCCCAGCAGAGCGTGATTCATTGTGAAAGTCAGTGAAGGAACACCTGGTTCTTGGAGAGCTGGCGAGACTACAAATGTGAAAAAGACGACTTGGACATAAAAAAAGATTGCTGTTTACAACTGCATTTTGAAATTGTATATGCACACAGACAGGAAACTCAGGGCAGCAGACCTGTGGTGAGCAGGGAGGGGTTGGAACAGATCGGCCTCTGTCTGCCAGCCCCCCCCCCACACCCCCAGCACGTTTGCTCATTCCCCCTCCAGCATGCTTGTGGGGTGATCGCACTGTGGAAACCTCGCTCCCGGCACCCACACCTTCCTCCCCCCCCACACACACACACACCGCCAGCCTTCCCACATCCTCTTCCTGCCTCATTAACATGCAGCCGGCTCGTTGGTATTCCGACCGCGTGCTGTGCTATGATTTGATTAATGGAATTTGACTTCCAGCGAGGTTCCCTGAAACGAAGATGGCTTTTTGGAACAGTGAGGATGAGAGGGAGTGGGGGGGGGGGGGGGGTAGAGATGCCTGGCAAGCGGGGGCACAGTCCTGCCAATTAGTCTCTGGAAGCAGTTTGGCTGTAACACCTGAGGATGAGTGCGGGCGCATTCTCCACCTCTCACTGATAGCGGGGTGGCTAATGGAGAGCCAACTAGCACGGCACGCCAACTGTCCGAGGATCAATTTGTTCTCCGTGTGTGGCTGGCAGGGCACACACACACCTGTGTGACACACAGCTTTGTGGCACCCGTGTAGCTCCGACTCAGCCAAATGGGTTGAGTCATGAAGCCAAATAAAAAGTGACCAAGCACACACTCAGGGCCCATTTTAAACCGTTAGCTATCAAGAAATAAAGAGCTCTGTGTGATGGGGTTGCCAAAAAAGTTCCTGTCATCGACCTTCGTTATCCATTTGTATTTACTTTAAATTGCAATATATTTAGCTTAATAGGTCCTACAAATGAAGTTTAATATTCTTGGTGTTAAAATGTTTACCTCAAAGTGACTGATAAACTGCATTGTATAAATATAATCAGCCTGTGCAGTCTGGTGTTGACCCATGTTGAGTTGGAGGGGCACTCGTGTGATAAGCAGTCATGTGGCCTGCCTCTTTCTTTAGGGTTAGCCTCCCACAGATAACACTGCAGTAAGGTGACACATTCCTGTGACACATAAGGGTCAGGGTTGTGTTCGAAACAAAAGGGTTGTGCGACGTGTTGGCTGCATTTCGGAAACCAGAAGTGTTCCCAAGAGAGTCAGTGCAAGGTGGAGGGAAGAGCTGACCTTCATTTTCTGAAAGATTCTCCTAAAATACATGCATAGTGTTCAATAATCAATCAGCTGTTCACTTTGAAAGTAACAGGAAAGTTAATATAGCTGTTTGAAAAAAAGTTAGCTGAAATCAAACAAAATTCCTTGTAAAACATATTTCTTGGCAATAAACCAATAATGACATATTATGGTCTACTCAAAAATGTATATAAAATGCAGGCGGGTCATCCATGACCCTCAAATGGAACTAGAACTGTAAATGAATTAGTTTAAATGACTCACTCCGTCCCATGAGAATTCTGCATGCTGCCCAATAATTGGAGTTATACCAATCAAAAGAACCAATTTTCCACATGAGCAGCTGCTCATAAGAGATTTGCAATTTCATAACCATTTAAATACTCAAAATTGGCAGAGTGGAGGAGCTTTAGGAAAGTTTCAGAATTGAATTAAACTGACCCAATACCAAACTACTGTGCTCCTTATAGGAACCCAATTCTGAGATTAAAACCAAATTATTTGGATTAACACAGAAAGAAGAGCTGCAACTACCAATTATTTTATTAATCCATTCTATGAAACATCCAAATATGGCCATCACAACACTTATAAGTGAAGCTCAGGATTCTGTATAAATAAAACAGTGGATGGGAATCACTGTAATATCCTTAATTATTAAAAAGACTGCTCTCTTGTGTTTGAGTCTTTTGCTCAATTGGAACTGAACATGGTCTTTAGGGAACAGAAGGAATTCCCACACGCAAATAAAGAAATCCGTGTCATCAGTGTGTGTCGTTGCAGCTTTTGGCAGGAAATAGAGCTGCGGCTCTGCCATCACTGAAGAGCCACGAGGATTCTTTAGTGGAAGTATCCTGGACACTAGTCTAGGGTTGTTTGACACAGGAGGGGGGGGGGGGCAAAAAGCCAGCTGGAAACAACTCCAAAAACCCTGTCTGTTAATGAACACCTCAGCCTGTCCAATTCTATTCTGACAAATGATGATGTTTCAGATTGACTTTGAAATAAACACATATATGATAATGTTACTGTGTGATATGTTGTATGAAAATGCGCCTGCATCTGTTCCGGGCTTCACTGTAATTAGACGACAGCGATGCAGATCCGTCTCACGCGGGGCACCATACAGCGTACAAAGATTACCTTCACAGGGCGATGGCAAGATGGTTTCAAAAGCAACAATTTCTTTTCTTTTTTCAACATCAAATTAGAGGCCAGCCGGTGGTTTTGGCACAGTCTTGGTAGGAGTGAAGGAGCAAGGGAGGGGGGTAACGGCATTTAGCGGAGACCCCCATATGTTCCTACCCAATTCACTGTCAATCACTTGAAAGGCTTCAGAAAAAGAAGTGATAGGAGCCCGCACCACAACCACTGCCACGAGGCGACATGACTTTTTCTCATCGTAACTTTCGGCTACATGGGCACATTCCTGCCCGGGGGAATGTGCTTCGAGTGGGGAACAAGTGATACGCCTGCGCCGACCCATCCTCAGAGAGTAGCCAGGAATCCATTTAAGAAGGGGGGGGGGGACACACACAAGGGGGTCAAGAGCGAACGAGAAAGAGGGCAGCTGCTGAATTCATGTCTCGATGGACACAAGGGGATGATAAGGGAAAGATGAGGGTTAAAGCGTGTAGGACAAAATATAGACGGTGGCATGAAACCAAAAGTCCTTTAAATTGGTGGCAGCAAGAGTGGAAAAACCAAAGAGATATATGGTGAAGGAGCAAGAGGGGGGCTTCAATGAGGAGGGAGGGGCCGCTGTGGAACAGGAGCCCCCTCTCATCAGTCAGTGGGCCCTCTTCAGCACCTGTCCCCCGCTGCCTTCCTGAGGCCCGTCAGCTCCAGCCATTTCACTGCTGACAGACTAATGCCCCTACACAAGCTGTGGGCTTCAAGCATGCTGACCGGAGAGGAGGGGGGGCGGGGAGGGGTATACGAGAGGGGGGGTCAGAGGGTGGAGGGAGTAGAAATGCAGGGGTAAGAGAGGGAGTGAGATAAACTGGTGTTATTATAATAAAGAAACAATACTATTTGTATCACATTTCTAGGACTTCCTGCTTGAAGAAGAACTAGAAGAGTAAATTAAGATGTAAAAATTAACAAAGTAAATAAATAGAAAACATGAAACTTATCGCCCTATTATAGTATTCTTGGTTATAAAAATGGTTTTAGTCCAACATTGTGGCATTACATATTTGCAAATGAGGGGCTATTGCAGGTGGTAAGTGTTTAGTGAAACTGTGGCAGGGACCCTTTTAGGTAAAGGCAGGACAGGAGTTGTTGACTAAGTAGCATTTAGTCTTACCCATGCCTGTGGGACCCCCGGGAGCGTCCGGAGTAGTAGGAATAGCCGGAGTAGGTGGACTCTGTGTCCATGGCGACGCAGTGCTGTCCAGGCAGAGGAACCTTGTGCGCGGTGCGGTCGAGCTACAGGCGGTCAGCGGGCTGATCAGGAGGCTGACAGGGGGGGAGAGCGGTCCGCAGTCAGGCTGGAAAGCGACCCTGGGGGCGCCCGGTGTGGAAACATCAACCTGGAGGGCGAGACGGAGAGGAAATCTGAATTTAAAATGTGAAATGTCAAGGAGACCTGCCCACAGGAGGGGCCGACAAGACCGTGACAGTGTCTGACATGGAAAAAAACGTTCAAATCAATCAAGTCTCAAGGTTTAAAGTGCGCTGTTCTGGCAACACACTTGCAGTGACAACAGTGTTATATGCAGCTCTCAGGAGGGTACAGCTGAGCGTTCAGCATAAAAGAAACACTGCTACCGTGAAGGAGCAATTTGCTCTTATTCCCACGCGGCTGACAACTGTTGTTCAGAGGCAGTTTAAAGTCTCTGACACACAGCGAACTGTTTAAGCCTGACTCTGACAAGCTCAGAGAAGAGTGTGGTGGAGATAAAAGCCTGTAAGATGGAGGTGCTGCCAGATTGTGAGCGAAGCAGGGACTCACAGATAAAGGTGTCCTCCTTCTACCTACATGTGGTTACTTTTAATAAACTGTTGATTGCATCAGTAATAATGCATTACTGCGCTCCGGAGCCTGTCACAGCAGAAATGCTCAGAGGATGGCAGGTCTGAAAGTGAAAACATGAATTGCTTGTGGCTAGGACATGCTTCATTTGAAAATAATGGAAGTCTATCATCGAAGCGTTACGTGATGTCTGTGCAAACGCTTCTACACAACCCAAGGATGTGTTTGTTAAGATTGATTATTATCTTTTTCAGCCGTGCAGAGACATTGTAACGTGGAAATAACATGTTATGAATTGATTAGTCAATCCCCAGAAATCTAATCTACATGTGTCTGCTAACCAAGGACAGTGTACAATTCACCTCAATGTAAGCTAATGAATACATTCATATGTGTAGTCCTGGGCATGTTATCTTGTCCTATTTCAAATCATTGATGTACTGTTTTAATCATTTACTGCTGGCTGGTTACAGTGTCGCCAAGAGTTACTTCTTCTTTCTCTATTTTATATCTGCAACAGCATATTAGGGCCATTGTAAGAACAAATAAATATGGATTAGAGGTATTATTCCAAGAAAGAAACTACAAGGAAACTCAGATCATCTATTTGCATTGGTATTTACAATTGGAGAGTGAGCCGTCAACTGTAAATCAAAATGTATTGATGCTTTTATCCACTAATAACTCTGTGATTGCATGCATTATTATTAGTGGCTGTTACAGGGGGATTGCTGATTGGACTACATTAAGTCATTTCCAGTAAAAATCAAGCTGCATTCTTTCCCCCAGAGGATAATCGTGCAGATGCAGGACCCACTTAAGCGTCAAATCCTTTCCTAATAGCAGTAAAAAGCCACGGACTAATAACATGTAGGGTCCCTGGAGCAGGTGGGGGGGCTTCCAGACTGCATTAAGAGGAAATGGTGCATGTAGTAGAGCGCACTCGATTTGCTAGGGTCAGACTAAGTGTGCAGAGATGAATTATGGGACAAAGTAAAAGATGAGAGCTGTTGGAAGGAGATACATGTGGCTCAAAAGAGTCCCATTTAAAGCACACATGTGATTAACTGCACAAAGGGAGAGAAGTGAGTCATGCGTATAGCTTGAGGCAGGCTGTAAACACTCCTATAATACCTGCACACACACACAAACACACACACACAGCTTCTCAAAGAGCTTTGGGTGAGGTGAACAATGTGAAGTGTGAAATACAAATGGATGTTAAAAACACCTTATTCAACTTCCCTGCACATATGGACTCTGATCCAGCACGCCTACACTTGGCATTACAATTCCATAAATCCTATGAAGAGGAGGACAGCTGATATTAACCAGAGGGCTCTCCTTTGAAGTGACAGCATGTTTAAGGGTCTCATTCTACAGTATTAGAGTGAACACATCCCTATTTCTCTGCATCTATCATCCAGTGCTTTAAATACTTTCATACCACCACTTTGTCCTGACATGGTCTGAAGCTGCTCCCAATCGAAACCTGCTCTGAAACTCTCCTTCAGACAGGTTTACTGCTGATTTATGACTCCAGTCGCCCTACAGGTGGTGAAAACCGCCCACTAGACATCCTATCTGCATTCAGGAAGAAGACTCCCTTCAGATCCCTTCTGAAACTGCAATCTTTATCAGAGGGAAACACACTTCACTGGGTCCAGAAATACACTCACAAGACATGTAGTATGACCCAGTTCTGTGGTGCCGGCACATCTGTGTGTATGTGCAAGTCAGACGACTGACACGCTTTGAAGGTTGTGCAACTGAATATTTTGATGTGCTGGTTGTGCAAATCATTTGAAAAGCCTGAATCATCCTCACAAGGTGACAAATCCTTCCTTAACTCTGCTGCTGCTGCTCATCTCGCACAACACGCAGAGTGAAGCAGGGTTTTCCTAAGAACGTGGTTTTACTCTACTGTCGATTAAGTCAACCAATGGATTACTCATCCAAGTGTATGCTGTTAGTCTACTTTCTTTAGTCAATGGCATCTCCAGTTTTCCTCCAAGATGTAAAAATGACTCAAACTAATATACTTTCTTGTTATCTGACTCATTTCCATATGAAAGTCTTAAGTCTGACTCAGGGGTCTCAAAGCTCAAACGGCCTTTACACAAGTACACATGCAAAGCACAGCACAAACTAGGGATTTGCATATCTGGGGTCTTATAATAATGGATTCTGGGTCTGGCCCCTGATACAGCTACAGGTGGTTGGAGAACCATCTGTTTGCTTTAAAGGGACCAAGATAGAAGTGGCCAGACACTGCTAATGCTGTACTGCAGGAATTTACCAGATGAATAATGACTGCTAAGCAAGCTGGGCGCAATCACAGAGGCATTTCCATCACCTGTTTTAATCCTCTTAAAAGCAAGGGCCCGCGGCTAAAGGAGGGATTAATACGGTTAAATGAGGGCCTGGTCCAGGTTCAGTCAAAGGGCAGCTCGGCTTAAAACTCATCGATTATTCCCTGTTTCTGTGCGTTTCCTCGCTAAATCTGGAGTCTCCCACTTGTTCAGATACGTCCCGCTGAGCACTACACTCCTCACTAGCACTAGAGGAAGGCTCTGAGGTCTATGTTGAAGTGAAACACGATCCGAGGGCGTTCTCACATGTGGTTTCTCTCTTTGCCGTGCCAGAGAAAATTGGTAAGCGGAACCACTTCAAGTTTTAAGGGGAGTCCGGCGCTGAAACAGGAATCCCCCAACGGTGGTAGGGAGGAGGAGGGGGGGGGGGGGCCTGGCAGGTTCTTCACAGTAATCTAAGCCCCCCCCGCTGAGCCGCCGGCTTGTCTGTTTGTCCTGGCAAACACTGGCAACTAGGAGCGAAGAGGAGGAAGGGCTACAGCAAGCATGAAGGGAAGGGTCTCACAAGACCGTTTTATTCGGTGTGTGAAAATATGAATCATGTTTAGTACTGTGTGCCAAACTTCAGGATGTGAAAACAACTACAAATGCCTTTTGAAAACCCACAAGCTAACAGGTGTAACAACCTGTGCATAGACTCGAGGAACTCAAGGGTAAACATCCAGAGGCATAAACTGTGAGCAAACAGCGGTGCGTAAACAGCCCAAGAATGTACTTTCATGTCAGAGAGAGGAGCTGGAGCAGAGTTACTCCGGAGCCACAAGACATCTGCTGTCAGCCGCCGTAAACCCATCAGCTCTGATCCGCTGCACCATAACATCACGTATGATACATCAGTCCGTCATCAACTGCTGGAGATTTTGATGGATATACTGACGCTTTGACAACCTATGTAGTGTAAGCTCACAATCAGCATTCATCTCTTCTCTCTTTTTTGGACAATAGGGCTGATTTGGAAAATGTCTGGAGCTTCAAACTGACCTTTCTGAAGCAGTTAGGGAAGGAAGAGTCACAACCTCCTGGATGTACTGACCCTATAGCACAGGGACAAACCTTGAAAGGGAGTCTGTGAAGTTAGTGAAGCAGTGAGACTGAACCTCTAAAGACCACTGATTATAGAGTAGAACTTCTAGTGGCAAATTAAGCATCTAATGAACCAGATCAGATGATCCCCTATGTTTTCATTCGTACCCTCCTTTCAGACGAGATGTTCTTGCGTCCTTTCCGCAGAATAAAAGTGAAAAGCCCCCTGTAGCTCATTCACACTCAGCGGTGATTGATCCTCAAATCCCACAGCCTTTTATGGCACGCCTTTGATTTCCTACACTGCTTTCTTCACTGATCCGCTATGGAAACAACCGTTTTTCTTCAGTAGAATAATCATAAACCACAGCCAAAACAATAAATAAATATTCTGTGATTTGACCTGACTTTTGAAATAATCTTCTAAAAAATATCTGTTAATCATAGAAATGATAAATAATTAGAAACTAGCCATACTGACACTTCTCCCCATCGCCTCATCCCACCCTGCGTAACCATGATGCCCTCTGCCTCCATCATCACCGTGATAACACCTCTCCTCACGCCATAATTGAAGAAAATAAGCTAATGATATCACTTCAGGTCGAGGAGGCAACTCCATGCCAGGCCACGCTGGGAAATTACAGCGAGACACTTTGGAAGTCTGACCGGTCACAAGTTGCTGTCCATGACTGAGCAAATGAGACTCATTCATTCTGAGGAATTCAATCAACATTCCTGAGAGTCATAGTATTTAACCTCTCAGATCGGAGAAACAGCAGCAGAACCACAGACTATTATTTATCATTATCATTTAAAGAGGTCGTGGTTATTATATCTGCTTATAAATAGCATCATTAGCATGTCAACTCTGTGTTGGTTACAAACTGCTGTCTGCTCTCAATAACAGGTATGTGTGATTAACGATGACTCACACCTTTATGCTTCGTTCACACTTGGCCTTTACCTGTTGCATTTTTCTGCTGGTGTTACTAGGCAACCACAATGATCTGATCCTGAGTCAGTGAGTAAACTGACTCATGGGTTGTTATAAACCTGGGGTGTTTAATACTATGGGACCTACTCAGACAGAATAAAGAGAAATGTGGTTGATCAATCACAACAGAGCCGGCCATAGGGCCCCTTTAAGAAGTTTAACTCATACTGGATGTAAAAATGTGTGTATCCATGTCTCTGTGTTCAGATTCAATTGAGAAAAATTTGTTTGTTAGTCACGTGACAAGAAAGGCACCATAGAATATTGATGAACTGCATAAAAATATTGACTTTTTTGCTGTCAAAATTACCTTATAATCTATCGAGCAAGTCACAAGAACATGCTCTTCATAGCTGGAGTGGAATAGCAATGAGTTAACAGACGACGGCAAGAAACAATTAACTGACATATTTCCTATCAAGGGATTAACATTTCTCAACTTTTTCCCTCTATACAGCACTGAGAACAAGCCAGAGGCTAAGACGTCCGACTGTTGACCTTTCCATGAAATGGAGATAATGTTTATTAGAATCACCATGGCAACATAAAGGCTGTTGTAGTTGACTGACATCTTGCCTTACCAGCTAATGCGGCACTATGCACTGCAGACAGAAGAGATGTGACTGGAATAACTCTGTCCAACTAAAGTTCATTGTAGAACATATTCACCCTGCATATTATATCATTATTAATAACTGATATTAACACACATGTTGTGAGCTCTGTAAGCCAGAAACACACTCGTGTAGCACGCCACGCTCAAACACACCCTCACATCTGAGAGCTCTTGACAGGTGTCATCATCGCCATCGATATTCTCTGCAGCTGTTATGCAAAATAATTCTGTTAGGAAAAGTGAATAAGAATCCATAAACTCTAACATTAGGGTAATCCAGAACATACATGTCTTCATGATAATGAGGCTGTTGCATAATTTAAAGAGAGGAAGAACAGTTGTTGTCACCATTTAATGTCGGTCTGGCTCTCACAATGTCACACTGCTCCCATGCAGCTTTAGCTAAGACAGCTACAAGGATGTCTGATACAGTGTGCATTCCTACTGCAATGTGATATTTAGTTATAAATACCTTTGTCATCTGTTACAAATATGTTTATTGAGGTAATGATAAAACCTTCCTTGTTTTCTGGCATAAGTTGAAAATCTATAGTTACTAAATGGAACTATTTTGACACTGATGCCGAACATTTCATCTCAATGTGATGTTTTGTTCTTACCTCTGTATTATAAAATGGTAAATACAATATATTTTGGTTTTGGACAGTTTGAAAGACAAAACGTATTCTTTTAAAAATGTATATTTGGCTTTTGAAGGGCTTATTTCTTCTATCTTGACATTTTGTTGATAAAGCACATGTTAATTGCATAATAATAGTCAAGAACAAATATCATGAGCCCAACACAACAAACGCCTATGTAATCATTTTCATTTCTGTCAATTGACATCAGAAGTGGGTCAATAAAACAGAGCAGATATCCAATCTTAACAGTCAAACAAAAAGGAAGACTTTCATAAGCCTAGGCCCGAGACCATAGACTGTATATAGCCTAGATAGAGAAGCGAATACACGTCTGTCTATAATCTCTAATTTCTCTGTCTGTAGGAGCTCCAGAGCAGGTTTCCCTGCCCAGCCCCTACCTGACCCGTCAGGCAGGCGAACCTAGCGGCAGGAAACTCCCTGGTATCACCGTGGCCTCTGAAGCCCCCCCTCATGCACCCCCCTAACATCAATATATTATATGTGAGACTACTTGAAACACCAAACCACGTTATAGCGGTTTTAAACGGGTGTTCCGTGTTTTCTGGATAAATGGCAGAGCTACAATGTATCCCTCCGCGTCAACTCCGCCGCCGCAGGTTACAGTTTACAGCTGAGCTGCGGTGCACCACGGGGGTATTGCGGATCCAGTCAACCGTATGCAACATAGTTGACTTTTTTACTGTCTCGCAGTAGCTGTCTGACTTTCTGGTTGAAAGAGGAGCCATAAACCGACACACCGACTATGTAACAAACTCGAAACATTAACAAATACGGTTAAGTTCCCCAGTCAGTTTGTGATCGCAGTTTGAGGGCATTCACATGAAGTTGAAAGCATTCCCTTTCATACAGGTAGCAAAGACAGCTAGGGCGTGTTCCCTAGCCTTTCTTTAAAAACACGCTTTCAGACTAACACTGAGCAACAGCCTTTGTTCTGTAGAAATAAAAATAAGAAGGCTCGGTAACCTACATTTAATAGGCTTTAAGAATCAGGACATTATAACACGTAAGACAGAGCTTCACACACTACTGAGCTCGCACTATGATCTGCAGAATACATATGACTGACACTGCGTTATTGGATCATAACTCACCCTTTATCGCTGGAGATATCATTCCAGTGGTTGATCATTTATCCAGAGGTTATTAAATAGTTTGCCCCAGAGCGCACGCTAGGCTGGCTGCAGTAGGAAGCAGCCCTCAGTGACCGGAGGAATCACCCTGGCAGTCAGGAATTTCACAGGGGGCAGTGCTTCAGCATATGGGCTGCAGTGCGGACACATGCCGCTAGGAGGCGTCTATAACACGTGAAGCCACTGCCAATATTACAAACGGGTCTGGTTAATTACAGTAGTGTTTGGTATAGAGGGGCACGAGAGATTCTGTGCGCACCAATACAAGTCCAAATGATGAGTAGTTTGACTTATTTATTTATCATATGTTCTTACTGCATAGGCTACAATAAATGTAATGATACTGCCTTATAATGATAATGTCTTTCCATAGTGCTTTTCTACAAAAAAGTTACAAATACATATCATTCAAAATGTATAGTTGCATGCTATAGTATGGGTTCTGCCTTTTTGTATTTACAGATGTAATATCATTGTTATTATTTGTTGATCTGTTTTATAGATTCTTTGCATCATATTTCATTTTATTTGTATGAAAAGAAAACGTCTCAAACAGTGAAAACAGCTTTATAGTGTTCTGCAAAATAAAGCTCAAGGTAAGCCAACACGTTTATACTCATCTAAATAAAAACACTAATTTGATAACTCTAAATAAATAATTTAATAAATAAATGTCCACATACTGTACATACACAAGTGCACACGGGTTCATGACCTAAACCCATAAACAACCTCTTTCCTCTGGTCCTGTTCTTGTCGTGTTCCAGCATGCAAGAAAAGTATTTTGACCTATGACTAGTATGTCTATGAAAAAATACAATTCCATGCATGTCACTACTGATTGATCAATATCTCCAAATCACTAGAAACTACTTGACGAATCAGCATGTCTCTTTAAAGAAGCAGATGGGCACTAAGTTGACAGGACAGTGGTGTTGCCTCAACAAGAATTAGATTTGCCTTACAGATGTCACACATGTCAACGACAACAATTTGACATCGATCAATAAACTGTTGATGCCATGGAAACAACGTCTTCTGTCTGCTCTACAATGAAGACACCGGTTCAGAACACAAAGCCTATAGAAGTACTAGGTTTACTTTTAACAGAGGTTTCTCAAATATTTAGACAAAAAAACTATCATTCTCTGATCTAGCCATGCAAAGAGAGTGTTTTGGTCACAGCTCATGAAGCTGAACAAGGTAAACAGTGATATAACACTCACTCACTCAAAGCAGAACACAACAGAGCAGAGATAACAATCTGGCCTGGACACAGCCAGTGACAGAGACACAAAGAAGCCTCTGAGGCCTTCAGGCACACTCTTAAAAGGGAAAGCAAACCAATGTCCAATTTCTCTGTCAGATAATAAATGAGAACGCTGATCCTCTCTTATAAAATGTAGGGGTTTGAGCACCACAGCAGTCTGGAAGCTGCACCCTGATTGGCTGACACTTGGTATTAAATCAGAATTCTAAGAAACGTGCTGTACAATGTACACACTTTGATTTTCTTTCAAGCGATCACACACACATAACAAATCATGCATATGCACAATAGTCACAATTTCCAGTGCACCTGTATCTTGTTAAATAAAGGTCCCAACAATCAATTAAAAAGATATATCCCCAGCGATTGATTTGACATTACTCTGCTGTTTCTGCCATTGTGTTGGCAGACAAAGGGGTCTCACACCAGTTCATTCACACTCCTAACACATGGAAGTTCAAACCACAAGGCAACAGATGCCTCCAGCAATTACACGGCTGTATATGAATCAATATTTTGTCCTCCTTTGAACTGCATTGTTGCCCCCGACAAACACACACATGCACACACACACACTTCACACACATGCCCTGAGATATATCTCATCCCCTCCAGAACACAATGGAGGTCATGACTGGGACACGACCCCATGGAGAGAAGAATAAACACTGATGCCGTGTCAAGGAGGGGGGAGGGGGGAGTGTTTATTTCAATATTTCTGCATACACACATGTATTGAAAGGTTAACAAATACATAAATGTACTTATACTTACTTCTTAAAGCTCACTTTTTTTAAATTGCTATTATGATTTTTTTTTAAATATTTTAATTGCATTTTACTCTTACATATTACAAAGTGTTTTTTTCTGTGTGTATAAAATGTGTTCTGTTTTCATGTGAAAGCACTTTGAAACTCTCTCTGAAAGGTGCTATATTAATAACATCTATTATTCATATATTTGTTATACTTATACTCTCTCAGAATATGAATATAAGCTGTCAAGCATCCTAGTTTGAGATGAGTGCACCACCATGTGGCTCTTTTTCACTATTACATGAGTTCAAACTTAATTTGCTGTATTTTATACCTCAAATGTTAAAACAATCAAAGCTTAAGACAGAGTGTGTTTTAACTGTAAATCCTTTTTTGTTCAGAAGTAGCATCTAATTATGAGATTATTTCTTTTTGGTCATAATGAAAAGGAAAATAGAGTAGACTTATTTCATTGCAAGTAATCCTGACAGTTCTTTCTCACATATAACACAGTAATTAAAAAAAAGACGAATGTATATCATGAATGAAACTGCACTGAAAAAACTGAAACGTGACTAACTAAATGTATTCTGTCAACATATTTCACATAACTGTATCAGGTTAGTTGAAAGCAATAATATTAAGTTGAACCTAATATTTTTTTATTCAAACTTAATATTACTGCTTTCAACTAACCTAATACAGTTATGTGACAAAATACATTTAATTAAAGCCAATGTTTCAGTTCTTTCAGTGTATGTATTTGCTCCGAACTTTAAAGCAGTACAATAGTATATCGATATTCTGGGTTTTGATCGTTTGCTAATTTGCAATGGCCTTAATATGCCAAGCAATATAAACAGTCAAGAGTTGGAAGTAACAATTAAAAAGGAGAAGTTTTCATTTAAATAATTTTAAAGTCAATATGGCATCTACACGTTAACAAAAGAGGCGTGTGTGAATCAATCAGCTGCTCTGAAATCAGATTACAAAGGCATCGCGAGCTCCCTCAGAGGAACGCGCGTCATATGTCACTCTTTCACGTGCATTCAAAGCAGCAAGCGCGCGCAGATGGCCCCTATTGAAAAGGCAAGGTGGGGGCCCCGAGATCAATTCAATTTGGTGTCCGGAAGATGGATGGATCCCTCCCCGAAGACACGGAGTTTATGAGTTTACAGGGGCTTTTGGTAAATAGGGGAGAAAAATGAACCCGTGTAAAAATGAAGACGAAGTGGGAAGAGATCAGTTTATGAGACCCCCACACACACTTACACACACATATATTCAGTGTACAGCTGTGCAAATGGGATATTTTCCCGGGAAAAGCCACTTTACAGTCAGCCAGATGAGATTGTATGTTCAGGGGCCAATTACATTCAGTGTTTGATAAATAAGCTTTAAAGGGCCAATCCAAGTAGGTGCATGTATGCCGCTTACAGTTAAGGGTGGGATGTGGAATGACATTTAAAATAAATATATATGTAAATGCATAGGTTTCATATAAAGGTGCACATCGAGACTGGACTGGCGTGTGAACGTCTGAAACAAAATGTCACCGCAGCAAAAGTAGGCGTAAAAAAATGATAGTAAACTTCAGTCTATTATGAATAGTCTTCTGTTTGTGTAGGCTGCTATAAAAAAATAAATACTACCATTTAAAAGGAACATATACATAGAACCAACATAAACTGTATTATGACAATAAAAGTCACAATGAGCAAGGCTGGATTAACAAAAACAGGGAAATGATCCGGGCCCCAGACCCTCGAGGCCCTCAAGGTTGATCCGTTATGGCAATATGTTTTTGGTTTTTCAATTCGTGAGGTAACGTGTATGACTGAAGTTCGATATTACCTGAAATGCTGCAGGCCTCAAAGCAGTTCTTCCATCTAAGCGTGATCCATAAGGGCCACAGCATATTTTGCCAAGCATGTTGAGCTGCAAATAATGTGAGGACAAAAGAAAAGTTAAATACAAAATGTGCAATTCAATTGTTAGGATGAGAAAACTCACCTATTCCAACGTCCCAAATGTGTTTTTCTGTGGTTATCTTTGTATTTTGATGGCAAACTAAATATCTTGGACTGTTTGACAAGCAAAACAAGACGCTTAAAAACGACAAAATAGAGCTTGGATAGTTGCTATTTGCTGATATTGTATAGACCATCTGATTAATTGGTCAATTAAGACAATTATTTTATGCAATAATGACTAAATGTTTTGAAATTGAGTTAGATAAGCAAATCATTCATTTTGGAGTCATTAAAACAGGGGATTAAAGTTGAGATAATGTCTTTATGTTTCTTTAATTGCAAATCTACATCTTGGCTGTGGCCCCTTTGACAGGAAAAGGGGACAGCAGGGTGTTGAATAAACTCCGTCCTGACTCACGGTGACTCACAAGCGCTGAGGCGACCACAACAAAGGCCAACAATTGGATTTAAAGATCTTAACCAAATTGAAACCCAATGAATATCAGTGTTTTAACTGGGCAGATTGGGCCGTGTGCCGGGCCTAATGCATGCACACACCTCCTGACAGGCCGGGTACAGATGGTCCGAGCGTGAGTCTGAATGAGAGGGGGACCATCCGCGCTGCTGACGCATTGTGGGGGGACGTCGTCTTCAATACAGCACTTAATGAGAACAGACTGACTCTTTCTCCCTCCCCTCCCCTTCTCCATCCTCCGACCATTCTCCTCTCCCCCTCCTCTCCCTCTGATTCTCCACTTCTCCTCTCCTCTGCCCATTTCCATCTGTTTGGAGACAAAGGGCCACGAGCCAGCTCGAGCCCCGGGACCCTGCTGGTGAAGGAGGCAGGAATAATACGGCCCATCCCGGGGGCTGCATTTCAACACATGGACCAGGCTTTGTACTTCTGCTGCACGAGCACCCTTCATGCTGCACACACACTTAGGGATGTGCACGCTTCACCTACAAACACACACCTCTATGAGGGAGAAAAGATGGGGCGGGGGGTTGCAATATTAACGGGGGAGTTCTCCCCTTGAACATGAACACTTTCATAATATGTGAAGAATAAAAGCCAGGGCGCAAAAATGAGGCAGCACCAAAAGCCCCAAGTGTTGTTCTCGTACTGTGAACATATGGCTGTTTGTTGTCATACTCTCCCTCCCTGTCCAATTTACACAGAGCTAGTGAGCCCTCAGAATTAAATGTGTGTGTGTGTGTGTGTGTGTGTGTGTGTGTGTGTGTGTGTGTGTGTGTGTGTGTGTGTGTACCTGAATGATGATGAGGAGGATGCCCTGACGCTGATAATGGCCGCTGTATAATCCCCTGCTGTCTGCACACACCTCTTGACATATGGTCACTCCTTGGCCTCCACCATTACATAAACCCACAGTGCATAATGGTGGGGGTGGGGGGGGGGGGGATGTTTTGGTGAAACATGGTACTTTCTCACGCACACACACACACACATGCAGCGGCCACACTGTCAGCCAGGCTGTTCGCCGCCCTCAGCAGTTTGGGCTTCGCCTGTCACTTTCCTCTCCCCTGCCCCTTCTGGGGGTTTGTAAAGAATAAATTGAAGAGGACTCGTGCTACGGAAGCTTTTGGGATGAGGAGCACAAATGGCCTTGTAGTGCTTCACGGAGACGTGCAGATGGACTCCTCCATTCAATAAGCTGCAGCAGAAGTCCATGTCCACCCCTGCCAGAATCACAGAGCTTGTTTTGTGTTCTGAAGAGGACAATCTGTTGATGCAACATATTGGGCTTCTTTTCTTCTTTTTTTTAAAGATAGAGCTGTCTTTAATATTGGACCAGTCAGGTTTGAATGGTGTCTAATTAGAATCAAATGATGATCAAACATTTAAATGTAAGTGTTTCGTATGTGATGCAAAGTGCTGACAGTGTCGGTAGAATGAAACAAATATGCCGCCTTTATCTTCTTCTAAGTGACATATTTTAACTGCGTCTTTGGACAGACCAGGAATCAGAATTGCAAAACTTCTCTGGCTGCAAATTCAACCAGGGTTACACCAAATGAGACAAACATGCGTCAAAATGTTCCAACGTGAGCGAAAAATGTGCCTGTTTATGTGTTTGCATCATAAACCTACAAAGACAAAGAAAAAGAAAGGAGAGAAACTGGAAGGAAATAACAGAAAGAATGGTAGTTTCTGCATTCTGAGTTCAAGCCAGGGCTAAACCAAACACAAACACAGTCGGAGCACCCGTTGCTAGCTAGCCTGAAGCTAACGTCTGAACAGTTGGTGTATTGGCTGTTTGGGGCGAATTAACACCAACAGTCCATTGACCAATGTGAATGACCAAAGGCACACATTTGCTAACAGTGTCCAATGTAGCATTACATGTAACAGGATGATATTTCCCAACATATCTCTTCAGTCTATTGCTTTAAATCCGCCCCAAGCTGCTACTACAGAGCCTCAGAAACTGTTAACACAACATTGACACATTTTCACCTTTAGAGTGTCCAGTATTCTCTCTGTTTTAGCTCTGTTTATGGTCTCCAACAACTCCTGAGGGGAGAACATGTCTCTTTAAATGCTAAATACTCCACTATGTTCACTAGCTAGTGTCTACATGTGTGTGTTTGCTGAGAAGGTTCTATGCACATGGTCTAGTGAGAGTGAAGCAAACAGTAAAGTCGTGTACATTTCAGTATGTCGAGGGATTGCAGATTGAGATTCTCAACTGTCACATACTTGTTAAAAGAATGATAAATGAAAGGCAGCAAGCTTACTCAGTAAAGTCTGTTGTACAACTTCAAGTTGTTAGCCGCCACAAGCTATTGGACATACCGGAACGAGTAATCCTGCAGCAGCAAGGCCCCTGGTGGTATTGAAATGAGCAAAATTACGTTTTACTTCGAATGAATGCATCTTTTCATAAGAGGAACCATTGTGCCATATCTTCTATGGAAAGTTGCTTTATAGTTTCCAAAAATGTCAAGCTGACTTGTACAGCAGCCTTGTCCCCATACAAACTTCCGGGGCCCGTGTGGGTGCAGCTGAAGGTAAAACAAGGTGGATGACTGACAGACTGACAGGCGCCAAATGGAAAAGAAAAAACACACAGGGGGCCCTTGAGCTGAAAAGCAAAGTACATTTCATGCAACCTTCGGTCTCCACGGATAAAAAGATTTGGAACAGGCAACATGGATTCACTAAAAACACTGCAGCTGCCACCTGAGAGAGAGAGAGAGAGAGAGAGAGAGAGAGAGAGAGAGAGCGAGAGAGAGAGCGAGAGAGAGAGAGAGGAGAGAGATGAGAGAGGAGACTTAATAATTTGACATATGCATTCTGCTCCCCAATTGGAACAGCTTATGTGGCATTTCCTGGGTGAAGGGTTCGATTCCCAAAGGGCCAACCAATGCTTGTGCAAAATAAAAATAAAGGTTCAGTAAAATGATAATCTGATGTGGAAAAAAGCATTCACACATCTCCTGCTCTGTAACTCAACTACACGCTTTGTATAGCCCAATCGATGGGAATGGCCGTTATATATCACAGATGAATATAAATATTTGGATCTTTCTGTTCATACCATTTGGCAATATTACATCTCGGCGCTCGCTCGCTCATAAATTTCCATCTCTCCCATCCCTTCTCTCTTCCCGGGTTTCCCACGGGAGGTGCCAGACGGCCAGTAATTTGGTTGTCTTGGCTCGTCTGGAGTAACACCTGCCCCCCCTCTCTGGGGAGCAGAGCCTTTCAGCCAGGAGCACACATGGAGGCTACCACTGCCTTTAGCTGCTGACCACTGTGTGTGTGTGTGTGTGTGTGTGTGTGTGTGTGTGTGTGTGTGTGTGTGTGTGTGTGTGTGTGTGTGTGTGTGTGTGTGTGTGTGTGTGTGTGTGTGTGAGAGAGAAAGAGAGATATGTGTGTGTGCGCAGATTTTTTTATAATATCTGTATTGGTGTGCACTCTCTTGTATTGTATGTGTGTACAGTAGGATATGTGTGTGTGTGTGTGTGTGTGTGTGTGTGTGTGTGTGTGTGTGTGTGTGTGTGTGTGTGTGCCAAATTGGTTTGCACTTCTTTCCCCATGCATTGTGTGTGCGTGTGTGTGTGTGTATGTGTGTACAGTAGGCTATATGTTGGACTGATTTGCACTTATAGCACCCAGCGCGTGTGCACGTGCACGCGCGTCAAAGAGCACGAGCCTTACGTCATCCTGCTCCGTATCCATCATGCCAATCAGCTGGATATTCCCAGCTGTCGCTAATTTTTGCCATACATTAACAAAAATATTTCAAACCAGGAGAGGGATTTTTCAAGTATTTCCGTTTTAATTAAAAATAAAAGCGGAAAATATGAAAGTTTGTTCATTAGAAACCAGCTGTCACAGACACCTCTACTACAAAAGATCTGCATAAAGCAACAAGTAGCCTACACAACCCTGAAGAGACACAAAATCTTTGGATAGAGGATATGTTTGTTTTTTTCCTTCACTATAAAATGACTTATTGGATTTTCGTAATACAAAGCAGACACAAATAAATAAATAAACCAAAATATAACATCAAAGCATTGAGGAGAATAAATTCAGACTATTATTTCAAAATGATCAGTGTTATTTTTTGGTAACAGCAAAAAAGAGGGTTGCTTCTGATGACCCCGTTTGACATGATCATTCTTACATTTTTCTGACATTTTGAAATTGCAAATTTGAGCAGCCCGTTTCTTATTCTTCGAGCAACACAACGGTGGAGGGAAATAAACATTTATGGGGCCATTGGACCCCATCTTGAAGTGCTTATCGTTGCTATTGATAGGCAATAGACGTGACATTAAAATAAATATAAAAATGACATACATCAAACATACACCAAACGAATAAATGATGGAGTAACAGAACGGGCCTTTTGTAACAGAACACCATCACTTTCCAAGTTCAATTCACAGCCTAAAATATAGCAACAAACAATATACATTTTTACAAAAAGACGCCAGCCTATGATATAAACATAAATAAATTAGCCTTAAATATAAACACAATTAAATAAATAATTCCATACACTTTAAAAAAATGATTAAGGTCACAATTGTATATGTCATAAGTGGCACTTACGCATTTTTTTTCTTCCTTCACGGAAAACATCATCTAAACTAGATCTAAAGCAGCTATCTCTTTACATCCTTCCTCTCGATGTGAAATGTGTTATTTATTAGACCTCGGATTTTTACAGTGAGGGCAGGACTGTGATTTAAATATATCCATGAAATTAGGATTTAACTAATATCATTTCAAAACCAAATTCTTGATATCCCTCCACATTTCTCCCTCCTCTCCTCCAGCTCCGGGAGGGGGACATGAATGCCTGCGGGGCCCCTGCAGCCCATCCCCCCCCCACTGCATGTCGGGTGATAATCATAATTCTCATTATTGCATCTAACAGCTCCTCGGCGCTTGTTGCTTTTTGTTCACAGGTCTGGGCTGGAAGTTGTGCATTTTTTCCCACAACTTTTAAACCGCCGTCACAATAACCAAGACTGCGGGGGGAGGGTGGGCAACTCAGTCAACTGGCAGGTATGGCAAAGTCCCAGCATCCGGGGATCCGTGGACAAGAGGGGAATATTTCATAGATTTGTATTTTAAGTGAGCTGATTCTGTTGTGATTAAAACCTAAATATTGAATTTGAGTCCCTGCATTTGACTCATATTGTAGCACACAGTCTATTACAAATATTGTCCTTAACCTCCAATCATTTAACGTTATACACATTTTCTACAGGTCATCTCTGCACTAAATGAAAGGCTACGAAAATATCGGGTATCCGTCCCCCTCCTCAGCCAACCTTGCCATACCCAACTGACGCACAGCATTTACGCGCTTGAGTCTTCAGCCCAAACCAAAGCATTTCTGTCTCATGGGGGGGTGGGGGTCACTTTTAAACATCCAGCACGTGATTGAGATAGGAGATATAGCATATAGCCAGTCTGAGTATTTCGATCTTGGAGAGTTTTTTGTCCGGGGGCAAGGTGGGGAGTAATTTCCTCAGCTCGGCGAAGGCCACGTTGAACGCCTCCACCCGGATCCGCTCTCTGGTAGCGTGGGCCGAGCGGTACTTGGCCGTGGCCCTCCTCCGCCTCCTCTTCTCCTCCCGGCTCAGGGGCTGGTCAGATCTGCATCTGGGCCGGTCCTCGCCCTCCGTGCAGGGCTCGTCCGAGGTGCAGCCGGTGGACTTGAGGCCGTTGAGGATGGACTCCGGGTCGGACTGAGTCCAGGAGAGGTCGGCCTCCGTCTGGTCCGGACTGAGCATCATCTTTATTCTCTGTTGGCTGTCACTCCTCCGTGAGAAACTGTAGTGAGGACAGAACAACAATTAAGCATTTATTTATATTCTCCCCAAAACTGCACTTGAATAAATGTGTCCTAAAAACATTTCTACATTTTAAATTACGAGCCTCCTCGATGCATCTTCAATAATGAGAAAATGTCAATTAAACGGAATTGTGTTTAGTGTTTCTGCCACCCCGAGGCCCCAGTATGAGAGATGCCCCAGCGGGGGCTTGTCTGGGTGCCAGGGCCCCCCATAAACCCAAAAGCAGTCTACGTTCGTTGCATAATAACATTAAACTCCATAAATAATAAATGCATCCAACAATTCGTGTAATGGATAATTGATCAATGCCTAAGGCCTTACTAATTAGGAAAACACATTTTAAAGTCTCATTTTTTCGTTCCAAATAATTATTTTTTTGTTTGATAATCCTTACAATAAAGAAATACGTAAGTTGTGATCATTTTTAGAAGGAGAAAGTCCCTTTTTGGTGAATTAACATAATCAGAATGTGCCATCTGTCACAGTGTGATGAACACATCTGCTTGGCTGAGGCCAGAGAGACTTGACAGCATGGAGGCAAAGAGGGGAAAATAATGTTGACATCTGCTGGACATGGAACTAATGGAGATATGTGTTTTTAAAAAACGAGGAAAGTAAAAATAAAGAACTTGTCAGCACAAAAAAGCATCTAATTGGGGGACAAACATTTTAATAACAAACTTTCATATGGAAAAAAATCAATTTAAAAATTGAGACTCACCTTGACAAATAATTTGGAAGCAAAACTCTTCTGGAAACGAACTTAAAAAGCGCTCTTTGGCGGAGCTTCAACTCCAAATTAAGTCATATTCCACCGAAACAACCATCAGATGTTCAACAGATGCACCTTCAGCCTCTCCGAAATAAAATAATCTATCTGGACTCTGTCAGCATGGAAACTTGCAGCATGGGGGGTCACAAGTCAGGCAGGGTGAATGCTCCTGCACGAGACAAATGTGATGATAAGAGTGATCAGTCAGTCCGTGCAGATCCAGAGACAAAAGAAGAGACAGTGGAGAACTCGTCCCTGGAAGATGGGGATGAAGGGGGGAGATAAGCGAGGCTCTCCCGTGTCAGGGTGCAGAGGATCGGATGCAGCTCACAGATAATCCCCCTCTCTCTCTGGCTCTTCCTCCAGCCTTTCTTCCACACAGTGTCATATGCAAGATAAGATCCAAACGATCCCGGCTAATAAAGGCTCACTTCAGGGACGGAATATATTTGAGGAATGGCGTAGTGGTCGGACGACGCCCAAGAAAGATACGGATCTCGACTAGAGCAGCTACGATAGAGAGAGAGAGAGAGAGATAGAGAGAGAGAGAGAGAGAGAGAGAGAGATAGAGAGAGAAGCGAGAGAGGAGAGAGAGATACTCTCTCTCTCTCTCCCTCTCTCTCTCTCTCTCTCTCTCTCTCTCTCTCTCTCTCTCTCTCCCTCACAAACACACACCTCCTCCCTCCCTCTCTCCCCCCTCCCTCCTCACGCCCCTCAGCCCTCAGGCTCTCCCTCCCGTGGGAGTACAGTGGGCAAAGGGAAAGCAGAGATGTGTGCATGATAAAAGAAAAAAATAAATAAAGAAGGTTTTCAGTGGTGATTGGAAAAAGTAAATACAGATAGGTATGGAGGTTTTTAATCTGATAATAAAAGGGTCGTTATACTATACATTTAATTATCATTTAAAATGAGATAAGATAAGGGATTATTTTCCCCAAGAGGGTCATTCAACAACACTGGAAAAGTCAGTCAGTTTAGTTTACATCTTTGTGTCATGTTGGCTTTAATGTTTTCATAATCTCATTGTATTTTATTTTGAAATGACACTCGACACTGACATTTGGTCCTGTCAAAATGCCGCTTTAATTGTTAACACGTTTTGGTGAGAATTGGAATGAAGCAGACTCAGGTGTTTGTCACTGAAGAAACAGTATTGTCTTTGGTTATAGCTAACATCCATGCCTGATTAAATAAAAACAACAAATGACAATAATAACTCATAACTTAAGTTAGTCAACATGGGGGACAAGACACTGATGCTGTCCAAATCACTCTTTCAACTAAAAAGAAAATACATGTTTGACACTTTTATTATATTCTTAAGCCCAAGGGAAAAACAGTGTGAGGAAAAACACAGACATAACCTATTTTCCTGCACTATTTGAGCTATTAGAAAATATTAAAAGTGACTAGATTAAGCCCATGTTAAGGGTTATTAGCCTTCACAGCTGCCCCCTTAACCATTCTGTGCTGTCAAAGTTAAAAGAATCTTGATTTCATGTGACTGTCATGGCACTGCTGCGATTCCACGGAGAGAGAGAAAGAAAAGACAAGAGAATAAAGAGAGAGGAAGTTCTGATATTTAAAACTTTGAACTTTACCCTCTCTTTTCAGTATTACAGCTGTTGAATAAATACAGTTCAAGTAGAGTATCCCACTGAAATGTAAAACAGCATAACATGGAAATATTACATTAAGTAAAGTGTCTTAAGAAACAGTTTAAGGAAATGTACTTACATTTCCTGACTGCAGGAGGGAACTTGTTGGATGCTCTAAAGTTTCTCCTCTCTTCCTTCCTTCTTCCCGCCCTCTTCCCATCATGCCCTCCTGTGCCCGGTGGCAGCGCCGGGTCATGAGGGCCGGGCTCCAGAGGGGGGGGGGGCAGTGGGCAGCGAGTGTGGGGACTAGCTGCGCCTAACGAGGTGATTAAAACGATAAGGGGAAGCACGGATGACTAGCCGTGGCCCGCAGCCACCGCCATGCTTATTGCCACACAAACACACACACGCACACACAAACACATACACACGCACACACACACACGCACACACGCACACACACACACACACACACACACACACACACACACACACACACACACACACACACACACACACACACACACACTGAGAGTGAGAGAGAAGTACCATAGAGCCAGAAGGACCATATCGGTGAAAACTCAGCATGTTTGAGAGAGAGAGAGAGTGTGTGTGTGTGTGTGTGTGTGTGTGTGTGTGTGTGTGTGTGTGTGTGTGTGTGTGTGTGTGTGTGTGAGTTGACGGACAGCTCGCCGTGGGCTCCGGCCGGGTCCACGGAGTGTGTGTGACACAGAGAGACTCACAGCGGGGTGTATCGGAGACATGTCAGGACCAGGAGACAGAGGCCTCCTGACAGCTGGAGCCCACGGACACACACACACACGGCCCACCACCCTAATTGCTCCACAGACGGAGAAGTGGAGATGGTCTGCACTCGCTGGTCTGCGTCACCCCCCCCCCCCCACCCTCCCTCAGTCCGCCAGGCCCTCGGCCAAAGACATGAAGGACCCCTCCAAGGCTGTTTTGTTTGTGCCTGCTGCAATTACATCCCACAGCTGATGTAGGGCGGTGCACACGGGTGGTGCAGTCACCAGAGAATGGTCATTTCAGGCAGAGGGTGACACTCGCTGCAGTTATGATGTTTCTGGTAAAGACTTTGTGTTGGTGGTCTGAAACTCACATTAGATCATACTTCTGTTTTAGAACATGTCAATAACATGTAATACTTCATGAAGATCCAGAAACATGACAATGCAGTTCATCCTTTTTCACAAAAGTGCTTGTTGCTAACATGTTTCTTTCAGATAAATGGAAAGATATTATTTAAAATGCACATTAAGGTGTTGATATCGCTATTTTTGTCAATTTGCGTCTGAAGATTTCTCCTAAATTCACCAAAGAATAACAAGAATGATAGATAATATGATCATGTTTGCAAAATGCCTATATCAACATCTCATCTGCATATTCAATCATTTGTTCTCTTCCACATCGACATCCCCTTTAAAATAATAAGATTTAGGAATTGTCCAAAGACAATAAGATGAAACACCCCATCACAAATATGTAAAATATACATGACAACTGTGTGTAAAAAGAGCATTACTATTGCATCAAAGCAATATTCCTTTCCCCTAAGTTATTGGAAACCAAACTTAGACACGATTGTTTCATTTGAGTTCTTGCAAGATTTTCAAATGAACAAATCCCACTCATATTAGGGTGAAATATTCCTTTGGAGAGACCACCCCAGGAACAGGGGTTTAGTCTGCCCTCTCCCATAATCATGGAGAAGAGGCAGACACACAGGAAGCAGCGCACTGATTTATGGTTATGATTATTCTTCGCAGGGCTTATATCAGCCATCCAGCTGGGGCCTAATACTGCAGTTTCTGAGGAAATAACATGCAAATCTGAAACCTGAGTTTTTGGAAAGGATCAAATCATATTTGAGGCTAAGGCGAAGAATTGTAAAGGCTTTAAAGGCCATTTCTTTTTGTGTGGGTGGACGTCCTTTTGAAGATTCAGGAAGTTACAAAGTGACGGCGGTAATGGAGTTATTCCTCTAATCAGTCGGAGCTCAGCGGACCCGCAGCTGTCTGAGCTGCTTGTTACAACAAAAACACCTTGAACCTGTGTGACACACTCCCACCTGTCACCCATCTCACACACACACACACACTCTCACACACAGTTTTGAACATTCAGGGAGCAGTGGGATGGAGCTGTGAAATGGGAAGGATTAGTCACTTTGTCAGGAGACGTACGAGGCTCCTCTGAGGTGGACGGAGAGCCACAGGGGGCATCTGGGAGGGGAGGGAGGAGGGGGGGGGGGAGGAATAAGAGGCTGGAGCAGAGAAATGGAAGTGTGCAAAAAAAAATGAAGACAAATGCAGTTTGAGAAAGACAGGAAAAGGAAGCTGTTTTTGCATCAGAAACTCTTAATTTGACAGTGATTTAACTTTGGTCTGTTTGCACATGGGTACACTGTGTGGACGCCAACTCGCCCATGTGTTGTGTTCTGTCTTTTCTTCCAGGGTAGTGAAATAGGCAGTGGCCTGGACCCTGGCCTTGTGTGTGTGTGTGTGGTAGAGGAGGAAGGGAGGGACAGTGGGGGGTTGTCAGTCCAGGCCTGAACAGGAGGTGTGGGATCCAGAAAGCTGGGGGTCCCATGTGAGAATGTGGCCATCCTCGGCACCATCTGTGCTCCCAGCAGGGCGCCCGGCGCGCTCTCCGCCACCCAGACACATATGGACACACAAAGGTGCTCACTTTCTCCCATGAGCGTGCACTCATACACACACACAGGAAAAACATTTTGGCCGAACAGTGAGAGTTGGGAGGGAGGATGATGAGTGTGTGGATGTGCAGTGTGTGATAGTGTCTTGTTGATGATGCTGCTGACATAAGTGTGATGACTTTGGAGAGCCAAAGAGGCATTATTAGTCAGCAAACGACCCAGCTGTGTTCTGCTTTCACCAAAAACACATCTTTTATTCTCTCATTACAATGTAAAACTGCCCATGTTTATACATGAAGACTTAGTGGTAATACAAACGTAGTGCTAGGAGGGCAAGCCAGTGTCTTGCTCCAGGAAAATGGAGGGAGTTCTGACCATTTTCAGCTGCCAACTTTTTATACTTAACGTTTGAAACAATTCAAGAAATTGATAGAACGTTTTAACATTTGTTTCCAATGTTATCAGCCCATTAAATGGACGTTATCAGTTATCACTAGCGCTCAAAGGCTTTAGAATGGGCAAACTGCACCCAACAACAAGCTAGAACATGCAAATCCAACGCTATGAGACATCGCAGTATCATTGTCACTTATGTTCACCAATATTTGGGATTAAGTCAAAGGGTAGATCATGATTTTGGTTAGAAAAATTAGGCGTTACGTTTTCACAGGACAGACTGACACATATTTGACACAACGTGTAGTTTCACACGGGATACGAACTCCAGTCTTGTGT